GGGGGGAGGGATAGCATTAGGAGATATACCTAATGTAAATGATGAGTTAATAGGTGCAGCACACCAACATGGCACATGTATCCATATGTAACAAACCTGCACGTTGTGCACATGTACCCTAGAACTTAAAGTATAATAATAATAAAAAAAAGAAACATAGTACAGGTAAATATGGCAAAAGAAATAATGATTTATCTTCCCTCTTACTGCTGCCATCTCTGCCTTTTTCACCCCCCCAAAAAAACTATGTCTCTTATGCATTAATAGTCAACTACTGATAATGCATTACACTTTCTAAAGCAACTATCTTTTTTTCATTATTCTGATTAATAAACATAAAAGAGCTCTTCTGGTGACTGATTAAGAATATAATTAGTGCCTTCTATGAACAAGCTATGGAGTAACTAAATAAGGGACATGGGTTTCTGATACTCTTAGACCAACTACAATTTTTAACAAAACAATTGTTGATATAAAGTTTCTCATAAATTCACTTTATTTCAACAGCAAAAGATCAGCTCCACCCCTCTGATTGGGATCACGAAGTACAGTCTTTTCAGCATGGGTTTTCTCACGATGCCACAAATAGAAAGAGGCACTAAGGGACTGATAAGGGGGTATTTTCTGTCTCTGGCAGTATTATATTTACCTGCAATAAAAACATCTGATCTTACAGAACAGGATACCTCTTGAAGAGGTATAGTTTATTTTATAATATGTAAGTATTCCAAATACATTCATTGTATGAATGAGGGAAGGAAAAGCAATAAGAAACATTTCACGAATATTCATTCCTAGACTCTAACTATACCAAGTCTTACCACTTTATAGAATTCATAATTTATTAGCCAATACTATTTTAAAATACTATTTCGGTACTTTAAAATTGATATTAGAGAAAAAAAGTCACACACAATGCCTAACACCACCAGGGTGAAACCAAATCTGTATCTGCCTGTGGCTCTGTCAGGGTCGATAGAGGCAGCAGCTTCATTTTCTTCATGGTTTACCCAGACAGAGGTGGAGCCAAAGTGCTAAGTGCATATTTCAAGCATCTGTTCTGAATATGTTTAAAGCCACAGTAAATTACAAAAGGCAAATTCATAGACGCTCTTTGAAAGTGAATGTAACTATTATACTTGGTATTTTACTTCCCCCACTCTCCCAGAAGATGCTATAAAGACAGATCCTAATATATAGGTTGAAACTCTCACTATAAAATCACTAGGCTAAGTCTATCAAGACTTGAAAGTTTGTTTTCCTGAGGAAGGTGAAAGGGTAATCTCTGTTCTTTCCAGGTGACTGTATCTGCACAGGCTTCCCTGGGGGGACTTCAGCAGCAGCACAGTTACACATCAAAGTCCTTCAGCTCTCCCCAGCTGGCACCTATTTTCACTTTCACTTTCAATTTCACAGACAGTTTTACAGCACTTTCCATTTCATTCTTGACAATCTGAGCTACCTACGGGGAAAAAAAAATGAGGTTAACAAACTCTCTGCTCAGTCAAAGAATGTTTCCCAAGTCAGCCCCTGCGAAGGTTATAAACCAGACTGGAGCTCTTCACCCAGTGGTGCTTAAAATGCTAAATCAGAGAAAATAAAAATAAAAATAAATACATAAAAAGACATCTCGAACTCTTCTTCACTGATGAGCAGGAGTTTCTGAAAGTTTTTGCTAGAATGCTTGGAGCTTGGAAACCCTCAGGGAAAGACTCCAAATTTTTGTTTAATTCCTCCAAGACAGAAACATCTCTGCATTGGCAATTTCTTCACTTATTAAGAACTAGTACAAAATGGAACACTCTTAGCAACTTTTCTACCTGTAAGGACTCAACATTTATACAGCCATCCTGGGGCTAGGGTAGAGTTCCAAAATCCTCATGCATAGGAAAAAAAGCTGTCAGCCTGACAGTACAGTGTCTTGGCTTCCTATAGAATGGACACAAGCATTGCAAAAATACCTGAACAACATCTTCTTCTGCCACTTCATACAGGAGTTCATCATGGAGTTGAAGGATGAAAAAGCCTCCTCTGACTGGGCAGAACATCCCTTGCAGTTTTCTCTTTCGTGACAATCCTGCTTCATGAAAAAGGAGCAAAACTGATCAGCATGTCGCTGAGTCATAGGAGAATGTTTTTAGAGATCCTGACTAACTCTGAGGAATGTTAATGAAAAGATTAGAACACACAAGATTAAGAACTATCAGGAAAATAACTACTTGCTGGTTGCTACCTAACTATCCAGTGTAAACTCACCAACTTCCTCCCAGAAAGAAGGAGTCTCCCGAAGAAGTCAGTAAATGGGGTGTGAGGAACCCTGCTTCAAGCTCTAGTCCAACTTATTTCTCATGAATAACTAACATTTTCTCTTTCCATGGAGTCCCCCTACCACCACCTGAGTAATACCACCAGGAAGGTATGGGGCCTGATTCCTGCCCCAGGAAAGCAAACTAATACTGTTATGCAGTGTTTCTTAAGGGGGACACCCCCTCATGTCTTTGTATGGCCAGAAGTGTCATCATGATAGAACTGATGCTTCCCCAGTTGAACTGTACACACTCTAAACAAGTAACTCTAAACCTAGGCTCCCAAAGTGGACTTCAGAGACCACATAAACCCCTTGCGGTTATAAATAAGAGTCTACATCTGTACGTTTTTCTGTGGAGATAATCCATACCTTCCAGTGGCCGTAACTTCAAAATATATACTAGACTTAGTTACTATTTCCCCATTAGCTGGACCTAGTGGTACAGATTATGCCCTTCTGCCCAAAAAGATAAAGCTCCACATGAACACCTTTACTGGAACTGCCTTTACTTGTTTGCTTAAACCTCACAGCAGACATCTTCCTTTCTGTTGTCCAAATTCCCTACTTATCTTCCAGGTCCAGCATGAGTACCTTCTCCCTCAGTATCTGGTGCTTCCCTCAGAGATAGAGTTCTTCAACTGTCACTATCTGCAGTGCCAGTTTGCTCAGAGGTGGCTCTCACACAGTAAGCAAACAAAAGCACCTGAGGCTGGAGCAAGCTGCTTCCACACTAGGACTGCAAAGGCTGTACCTCTGTTCACAGTTCGGCTGAAATCTGATCTGCCCCATGAAGCCACACTTGGCTCACACCATTGACTGTCTGGATGCTCTAGCTTTCTGATGACCACGCCTTAGACCTCTTGATTTCCCTTGGCTACCTGGCTTCTGACACAGAATGCCACGATGCTCTTGTTCCCCATGTGGTCTGTTTCCTCACGCTCACCTTCCTTTCATCCCACTGACCTAGCACTACTTTAAGCTGGCATGATACCATGAAGCCATCCTTAGTGACAGAGTCATATCGCCTTCCACTGACTCTTAAAGTCATTATTGTCTGTATCCTCATTTTGACATTTATCACTCTGCTGTGTGGAATTAATAAAAATACTTTAGTCAGGTATCATACCTTCCTCTCCTTTCTTAAATAGACCTTAAATTTAAACATAGATTGGTAACTTTTACTTCTAAATCCCCAAAGCACAGAGCACAGTACTACTCCCCAAATTAGTTTAATTATATTCTCCCTCTATTAAATATAAATGTGTATGTGTGTGTATATACACACATAGTCCCACACTCCAAATGAACGAGGGGTCTCAGATATTTTGGGGGGGGACTGATGACAAAATTAATAATCCTCAATGAGAAAATAAACTTCTATATCTACATATTTTTGTACATAAGTGAACACGTTATAACTGACTGTATTATTCTCTATAACCTGTATGTATGTCTGTTCTAGAAATAGCAAATCTTATCCTCAATAACTGAGCACGACCTTTCTGCCCCATCTCTAGCAGCTTTTTCTTCCTCTGTATGCACCAAACCTTAATTTCTTCCCAGGAAAATTTAAAACATGCCTCCTGGCTGGGCATGATGGCTCACGCCTGTAATCCCAACACTTTGGGAGGCCAAGGCAGGCAGATCACTTGAGGTCAGGAGTTCTAGAGCAGCCTGGATAACGTGGTGAAACCCCTTCTCTACTAAAAAAAAAAATAAATAAATAAATTTTTTTAAATTAGCCAGGCGTGATGGCATACTCCTGTAATTCCAGCTACTCGGGAAGCCGAGGCAGGAAAATCCCTTGAACCTGGGAGGCAGAGGTTGCAGTGAGCTGAGATTGTGCCACTGCACTCCAGCCTGGGTGACACAGTGAAACTCTGTCTCAAAAAAAAAAAAATTGTCTGCTGTCATGGTTTGACAATCTCAGTGACAGTGAAATAGTATTTAAAGCAGAAGAAAAAAAGAAAATTTCACTGTACTTGTTAGTACAAGAAATAATTTATCCAAGCAATAAAGCGAAAACTCAGGGAAAATATTCTGAAAATAAGAACAAGAAAACAATGTCAGCAAAGTAACATATGTGATAGAGATCAAGAGTATATTCTAAGACCAGAGAACACTGAAGGTCATAAATAGGAAAATGAACATGTTCTTAAAATATGGTCTGAAGACCACAGAGGATCCCAAAATCTGCAGTCAAAATTACTTTCATAATAACACTATGAAGCTATTTGCCTTTTTCAGTTTCATTTTCTTATAAGAGCACAGCTCACAGGTGAGTTTGTTATTACTTTAAATGCTCATGTTTTAAAATTCTGTTTTAACTTATAATATGGTAAATATATAGACACAACCCACAAAAACAAGAGCTCTTTGAAATCCTTAATAATTTCTAATAGTCTAAAGACATCATGAGACCAAAACATTTGAGAACTGTTGAGAAATAAAATAAAAAATACTTCCCATTTACATTTCCAATATAATTATTCTCACCATGTCACAGCATAGGACTCATCTATGAACAAACCTGTTCGGTCACTTTGGAGCATACCCTCTCGATGGCCATGGGATTTGAAAGTTGAGTGGAAGGTCTCTAATTGCTTCTGAATGTTAACTGTGGCTATTTTGACAATATCAGCTGCCGATCCTTGGACTGTTGTGTTGATAGCTTGACGCTCAGCCTATAAAAAACAATTAACAGGTGCTCCACCAGATATGCCAACATGGTTTCATACCTTCCTTCAGTGTCCACAGATCAGTGCTCACATTCGCAGCCAGACTGGAAAGCTGGACTGAGATGTGACCCAGGACACCAACTATCAGGATGCATCCTAAGAATAACAACTATCATGATCCAGGGCTCTAGATTCTGGGGTTTCCACATTAGGGCAGACAAAAATATAAGAAGGTCAGATTGCTTCAGCTTAGGTATCTTGACTACTTAGTTAGGATCCAAAAACTACTTTGCACTTAGAATGTATTTAGCTCGTCAGTGTTCTGGCTGTTTTAGGCATCATTCTAAAAGATCTACTACTCAAAATAATCTTAATTCTAAATAAGTAGAATATCATTCTTTGGGATGTGGGTTGGAATGTTCTAAGCACACCCTCTATACCAATGGCTTCTTGGTCTTATAGAGTTTGAGCCCAGCAGGTGTGGAGCCCTCTGATGTGAATCAGAGCTTTGCATGGGCTGCTGAGGCAAATCCTTAGCGGCTAGTGAAAATGCACATCCTAGATCCCTGGGTATTCAGTTATAACTTCCTTGAAATGACTGCTGCCAAGTGCTTCTTGGCAGGGAACCATGCCTACTAAAATTAATCATCTTGGAAGAGTAGAGGAGGCAGTTTAGGTTAATATCCAGGTGTCATCTATATATGAATATCATTCCCAGTGCCCCAAAATGTCTCAGAAAATGAAAAAGGTCTACTCCAGGGAGCGGGGAGGGGGTCAATGTAACGTGAGAGGTATTCTCTAGTCCTCTGTCACCTGAGCTGTACCCAACTTGTAGTATATGAAATGCCTGTAATCTCAGCTACTCAAGAGGCTAAGGCAAGAGGATCAGTTGAGACCAGAAGTTTGAAATCAGCCTGGGCAACACAATGAGACCCTGTCTTTAAGAAAAACAAAATAAAACAAAAACCTCTCTCTGCAACTAAAATTACTAATGAGAAGGAGAAAAGGCCACACACAATGTGGGAGAGAGTATTTTCTACACATGTAACCAGTAACAGGTTCCTACAAATTGATAAGAAAAAATGCAGAAAACTCAACAGAAAATTTAAAAAGAAAACCAGAATAGGTATTTACCCATGAAAAAATAACTAAATGGCTAACAACACATTTATAAGGTTGCTCATTTGTAAGGTTACCTCACTAGCAGCCAAGGAAACACAAATTAAAACTACAGGACACTACTTTATACCCACCAGAATAGCTAAAATTATATTAGCTTAATAGCAAGTGTCGACAAGAATGCAGAGCAGCGAGGACTCACATACCCTTACGATGGGAGGACAAACTGCTGTAATCTCCACAGAAAACAATTTGGCTTTATCTACTGAGTTGAAAATACGCAGCAATCCTACCACTGTGTCTTTACCAAACATAAATGCACCAAGAACCTTGTACAATCATGTTCAAAAACACAACAGTTTAGCTTCAAACTGAAAACCCAAGTTCTTATCAAGAGAAAAACAGATAAATTATGGTATATTCATATAACAGTATACAGCTGTTCCTACATGAAACAACAAGAATGACTTACTCACGTAATTTTGAAAGAAGCTAGATACAAAAATATACATGTATGACGTATACGGAGCTCAAAAAAATACAAAACAAAACTACAGTGTTAGAAGTTATAACAGTGGCTCTTTCTGGGAAGGCGATGGGTGGTGATTAGGAGGATGCATTAGGGGCGCTTCTGGGGCACTGCCAATATTCTATTTCTTGCCCTGAGTGGTAGTTACACAGGTGTAGCTCTGTGATAATTTAGTGAAATCTACATTCTCTATGTGTGAGAATGTACTTTTCAGTACAACAAAAGTTTGAACAAAAGCAAAAACCAAAACAAACAAAAACCAAAAAACAACCTGGCTATGTTTACTCTATTCCTAATTCAGAGGGCTGGAATTTTTTTCCTCAGCAGCAACATGATGAATCAGAACTTTAACACTGAAGTATTTGGCATGAAAAAGCCTTATTACTCTCTCACATCTTCAGGTGCAATAATATTTTCACAAACATATGATTCATTTACATTAATAACTATATATTCCATGTTTTATCATGCAAATTCCAGAAAACATAATCAATTCCTATTAGATCAAGTCCAAATTTCTCAGCTTGCCATTAAAAGCCTTCTGTCATTTAGAAGAAGCCTTTTAGTCTCCTAGCTAGCTTCCAGCTGGCTCCATCTATCCAGGAGAAAATTATCTACCCCTACATGACAACTCAAACTCTCCATTCCTACCAGTTTGGCTTCTAGCCAGTCCTCACTCAGTTATCCTTTCTCATTCCCAACAGCCTAAACTTTAAATAGCCTTCAAGAATCTGTTTAAGTCTTTCCTTCTCCCTGAAACCTAAATAATTAAGTATATCAATCATGTTTTCATATATATATATATTTTGTTTGCATTATCTCTTCCAAGACTTAAAACTTAGGTTTCCTAGTCCATCAACTAAAGTTACTAGTTCACTTAGAGATACAGTAAAAGCCTGATAAATATCTGATATTTGCATGTGGATATATGAGAGGCTACAGAGTAAAGAAGTAACAAAAAGCCACAGTCCCTAAAAGCATTAATGCTCGGAAGGCTTTGAGCTCCAGACAGAAGTTTAGCTGGGTATTTTCACTACATGCAATGTCTAATGAGCACTAAAACACAAAGTTATGGGTGAAGGGCAAAAAACATCTAGTTAAAATAGGAAGATTTGAATACACTAGAAGCTTAAATACTCAGGTACACAGAATACTTTCATGAATCCCAATGAATTCAGAAAAGAGACTTAACACTAATTTGAGCAAATATCAAAACTTTTAAATGCTGTTAAAAATACCTTATTCACTATTTGGGATATCCTAATAATCTCTGACGAGACAGTGGTTTTTTTTTGTTTTGTTTTTAACATAGGGTCTCATTCTGCCACCTAGACTGGAATACAAGTGGTTCAATCCATGGCTCACTGCAGCCTCCAATTCCTGGGCTCAAGCAATCTTCCACCTCAGCCTCCAAAGCCAGCTAAGACTAAGGCATGCCACTACCTCAGTCAGCTATTTTTTTTTTTTTTGTAGATATGGGGTCTCACTATGTTGCTCAAGTTGGTCCTCAAACTCCTGGCTCAAGCAATCCTCCTGCCTCAGCCTTCCAAAGTGCTGGGACTACAGGCATCGATCGCACCGCCTGCCCTTGGCCCCGATAA